CACAAACAAGAAGACGGAGGCGTGGAGAGAGTAAGTCACTTATCCAAGGACACACAGCTGGCGATGCTGGGGTCTGCCCCAGAGCCTGAGCTCTTGGCACTGTGCTCTCTCTCTAGGGAGAAGACTGCAGTGTGGACTCCACACTGCTTTCCTCTACTCCTTTTACCATGCACATCTGTACTCCTGGGTTAACTTCCTGGGGAATACAACCTGCACGATCTCACAGGATCTGTGCTTAGAAGAGTTTCATCCTTAGTTTAATGCTCTGCTGTTGCATTAACCTGGACATTCTTAGTTCGTTGATCTCTGAATCTGTATTTCTTAAGAGAAGTCCAGTGGGACAATGGAGTGTATGGGTGAACAGAGCACACACAAGCAAGATGCATGGCTGCTGCTCTTGCCATCTGATTTGCACACTGCAATCTTGTGGCCCCTGAGCACAGCATTCCAGTGGGCCAAGACATATGGAATTCAGCAAGGCGCAATGCAAATACAAGGTAAGAGCGTCATGTCCATGATGGAGTAAGCAGAGGCGCTGGAGCTCTGAGAAGTCGTGCTTTCCTTTGGACCAGAAACTGACCAGAACTGGCTTTTGAATGCCAAAAGGAGGCAGTAGTGCTCAAAGTTGCACAGTTAGCCAAGAAACCCTATCACACAGCTTTTCTTACTCATGCTGTTTCCCTCTACTAGCCAACTCATCACAGTTAGCTCTCCATATTCCTGACTACCTTATTGGGATAGAATGTTGAGAGTTAACTGTGGTTTTGTGTTCTAATTCTTCCTTACTCTTTAGTAAGCTGTTGTTTGTAAAATACATGAATATCAAGAAGCAAAACAAAAATTGTTGAGTTAGTTTGGAAGAGTGTTTCTACAGTTCTAGTAAGAACAAAACATATAAGTACATGAGATTCAAAACAAAAATTGTGTAATAACTGTGATCCAACATGTGAGCCAAAAGCTCATGTTTTTTGCATTTAAAAGTGGCATTGCACAACAGAAAGATTTATGGTCGTGCTTTTGTCTTGATCCATCACGGTCTTAGAGTGCCCTTGTGCAATGCTAAAGTTCTGTGGAATGGTTTATATGGAGCAGGAGAACACAGGGCCTCGCTTGGAGGGTCAGGTGAGGTCCTGGGAAGACAGATGCCTGGGTGATCATGGGGGCCAGCTCCAGATGTCAGCTACAGTTTTTTTCTTTCTTGTGACCTTTTTTTTGTATGAGATTACGTGTCCCATCAAGGCAGGTACCATGGTTTTTTTTCATCCCTGCTGTTTCTAACATCTATACATGGCCATGCATTTTTGAAGGTGTTCACTAAAGAATCTTCAAATGAATGAGTGTATACCTGAGTGAGTGGATGAACGGGCTGTGAGGATTCTTCATCTTCTATCCCAGTTGGATTCAATTTGGTGATGTTCTTACCTGTGGGAATGTGCATTGGTCATGAACTAACCATGGAGACTAAGCTACCCAGCCCAGATCAGTTCGCACCTGTTGTCTCCTGTAATTACTGAGTATCTCCTTTCACTCTCAAATGTTCTATGACCCGGACGATAAACTATAAGATCATCCTAATTATAGAAGATAGGATAGCTTCAGAACAAGAACAATAACGAGAAGATACCAGTCGTGGGACTTCCTAAAGATAGGTAGGATGAAGGAAGGGATAGCAAATGTTTTCTAAGGCCTCTTTCTTTTTCTTTATATGGGATCTTGCTCTGTCATCCAGGCAGGACTGCAGTGGTGCAATCACAGCTCGCTGTAGCCTCAAACTCCCAAGCTCAAGCAATCCTCCCACCTCAGCCTCCTTGGTAGCTGGGACTACTGGCGAACACCACCATGCCCTGCTAAATTTTTTTTTTTTTTGAAAGATGGGGTCTCACCATGTTGCCCAGGCTGGCCTTGAACTCCTGGGCTCAAGCAATTCTCCTACCTCAGCTTCCCAAAGCACTGGGATTACAGGCAAGGGCCACCACACCTGGCCTCTAAGTCCTCTTTCTGCTCTCAGATTCTTAGATCCTGTGAAATACATTATATATATATATATATATATATATATATATATATATATGTACATACACACATATTGTATTATATTATATTGTATATGTTATTATATATATATTTTTCTTTATTTATAGGCACACTCATGTTACTGTGCTTTGCTTTATTGCACTTTGCAGATGTATTTTTTTTTACAAATTGAGGCTCTGCAGCAACCCAGCACCAGGTACGTCTGTCAGCACTACGTTTCCAACAGCATGTGCTTGCTTTCTGTCATTGTGTCCCGTTGTAGTAATTCTCAAAACACTTCACAATTTGTCGTGATTATTGCCTGTCATGGTGATCTCTGATGCTACTATTGTAATTGTTTTGGGGTGCACACATATGAGACGACAGACAATTGATCAATGTCGCGTGTGTTCTAGTTGCTCTGTGAGCAGTATTTAAAGGAGGAAATACAAAATTTACCTACCCAAATCCACAGTACTGAAAAACACAAAACCACAGTTAACTCTCAACATTCTATCCCAATAAGGTAGTCAGGAATATGTAGAACTAACTGTGATATTGCAAAATATGTATTTGTTCTTCCTCTCCCTCTCCTGGTATGTAACTCCTAAAATCCTTGGACTCTTCAAAGCAATAAATGCCTTTCTGTAGCTTCAGGATGGGGGCTGGTCACTGGAAAAACCAAGGCAGGATTAGAGAGTTGGGACTTTCAACCCCACCTCCCAATCTCTGGGGAGGCGAGAGGGGCTGAAGGTTAAGTCGACCAGCAATGGCCAATGGTTTAATCACTCATGCCTACATAATGAAGCCTCCATAAAAACCAAAAGGACTGGGTTTGGGGAGCAGCTGGATGGCTGAACCTGTGGAGGTTCCCGGAGGTTGGTATGCCTGTGGAAGCTCCATGTTGCTCTCCCCATACTCATCTTTTCTTCTGTGTCCTTTGTAATATCCTTTATAACAAACCAGTAAACAAGTTTCCCTGGGTTCTGTGAGCTGCTCTAGCAAATCAATCAAAGCCAAGGAGGGTTTGTGGGAATCTTGATTTATAGCCAGACTGGAAGCACAGTTCTCAACCTGGGGCTTTTGATGAACATCAGAAGTAGTGTGGGTGGCCTTGTGGGGCTGGGGCTTCAACCTGTGTAATCTGAGGCCATCTCTAGGTAGATAGTGTAAGAATTGAATTGAACTAGAGGACACCCAGGTGGTGTCCACTGCAGAATTCATTGCTTGTTTGCTGGGGAATAATCCCCACACGTCTGGCATCAGAAGCATGTTGTGAGGGTAGAGTGGGAGACAACTGAGTTTGTTTTTTTGACTAACCAGCATTTGTTATATTAATTCCATCATATTAACATCCTTAATTATGCTATTTTAGTATACGTATTTGAGTATATGCTATTTGAGTATATTTTGTCTGAGAATGAACAGAGGTGATGACACAGTTTGGATGTTTTGTCCTTTCCAAATCTCACACTGAACTGTGACCTCCAATGTTGGAAGTGGGCCTGGTGGGGGGTGTTTGGATCATGGGGGTGAATTCTTCGTGAGTGGCTTAGCACCATCCCCTTGGTGATGAGTGAGTTCTCACTCTGAGTTCACATGAGATCTGATTGTTTGGAAGTGTGTGGCACCTCCCCCAACCCTTGCTCCCATGCTCACCATGTGATGCCTGCTCTCTGTCACCTTAAACCATGATTGGAATCTCCCTGAGGCCCTCACCAGAAGCAGATGCTGGAGCCAGGCTGACACAGCTTGCAGAACCATAAGCCAATTAACCCTCTTGTCTTTATAAATTACCCAGCCTCAGATATTTCTTTACAATGTTACAAAAATGGCAGAACACAGGTGACCTACAATTTATTGTGAATAATTCCATATGGATAATTATTAGGTTGGTATAAAAGCAATTGTGGTTTTCACCATTAAAAGTAATGTAAAAAGGGCAGGGTGCAGTGGCTCACACTTGTAATCCCAGCACTTTGGGAGCCCGAGGAGGAGGGATCATCTGAGGTCAGGAGTTCAAGACCAGCCTGGCCAACATGGTGAAACCCCGTCTGTACTAAAAATATAAAAAATTAGCTGGGCTTGGTGATGCGTGTGTATAATCGCAGCTACTCAGGAGGCTGAGGCAGGAGAATAACTTGAACCCGGGAGGCAGAGGTTGCAGTGAGCCCAGATCGCACCATTGTACTCCAGCCTAGGCAACAAGAGCAAAACTCCGTTTCAAAATTTTTTTTAAAAAAAGATAATGTGGCCAGGCGCGGTGGCTCAAGCCTGTAATCCCAGCACTTTGGGAGGCCGAGGCGGGTGGATCACGAGGTCAAGAGATTGAGACCATCCTGGTCAACATGGTGAAACCCCGTCTCTACTAAAAATACAAAAAATTAGCTGGGCATGGTGGCGCGTGCCTGTAATCCCAGCTACTCAGGAAGCTGAGGCAGGAGAATTGCCTGAACCCAGGAGGCGGAGGTTGCGGTGAGCCGAGATCGCGCCATTGCACTCCAGCCTGGGTAACAAGAGCGAAACTCCATCTCAAAAAAAAAAAAATAATAATAATAACAATAAATTAAAAAAATAAAAAAAGATAATGTAAAAAGTAATAAAAATAGCACCTTTAAGTCAACTAACTCTCAGGTTTATAAAGCTGGGAATAATATTAAATCTTATTTAAATTCAACTCCTTTATATTATTTTTTACATTTTTAGCAGAGACAGGGTTTCACCATGTTGGCCAGGCTGGTCTCGAACTCCTGACCTCATGATCAGCCCACCTCAGCCTCCCAAAGTGCTGGGCTTTGGGATTACAGGTGTGAGCCACTGCACCTGGCCAACTCCTTAATTTTATAGACAAGGCCTCTAAAGCCCAGGAAGACTGAGCCTATTTTGTGCAAGGTCACTAAACAAATCATTGTGTCCAGGCATAGAACCCACATTGTTCTATCTCTTCACTGGTAAAGTATGCCTGACAATAATTTTACACAGGAATGATACTTAAAATGTTTATTTCATAAGCACTGTTATTTGCTGCTATGGAACCTTCTATAAACCCATGGTTCTATTTTTGCTTTCCATGTAAACATACGCTTATTTTGTGTTTAAAGATGAGCATTAGAGTTGCGCTGGAAAGCCAGACTTCCTTCCAGACAGCAGGAAGAAATGGGAACTGGCATCCCCTATTTCAAATCTCTATTTCTGTTTTGATAGGTAATAATGCTGCCAGATGCCAGGGGTTTGGGCCAGGTCTGGTTGTCACTGTACAGAAAGCCAATTACTGAGATGATGAGTATTGCTGGGGAAGAAAGGCTTTAATGCAGGTGACGTCAGCTGGGATAAAGGAGACGAGTCTCAAACCTGTCTCCCTAACCAACTAAAGTTAGGGGCTTACATAGCAGGGAGTTAGGGAGGGGTAAGGAAGGGGTGTTCGTCAACAGGCAGGAGGTGCATCTCATGACTAGATGCCATGATCTGAAAAGTTTCAGTTCCTTGATACTATCTGCGAGTGCTGATGGTCGGTTTCCTGAGAAAGAAACTCACACAAAACAAATGTAAGTTCCTCAGGTTTCAGTTCTATGAGGCAATCAAGCCGGGTTCAGCAACTCTGTAGGTAGAGAAATCAGCAATGGTGAATTATGGTAAGAGCAAACATGGTGAGATGTAGAATGCTCTCAATTAACTCGCTAATTTCTCTTAATTTTTTTGGAAACACATGCTGCTGACCAGGAAAGGTAGAGAACTTTGATTAGTTTCCCTTACATAACAACGTATTTTCCCGGTTCTGAGCAAGCTTAGAATCCCGGGATAATTTTTTAAAGTTTAGCAGTTATGTTTTAAAAGAAAATGAGTTCAAATGTTCAATTTCAAGGCAAAATGCCAAAAGGTTGCAAATATGTAGCAACCATGCCAAAAGGTTGTATAAGGGAATTCTACCTCCCTTGATGAAAGAAGATTCTTAGAACCACCTGGAGGCTGTTTTAAATTATACACACTCCCATCACTGTGGGACTGACCATTCTATAATGGATTCTATTTTATCCCTGTGGGGAAGGGTGCCATCCCAACAGCCACCACGAGGGGGCACCCTCCAGGACATCGCAGCTCTGTGCTGGAGCTGTCTCTTTCTCAACCCTGCCAGTCCCGGAGCCCCACATTCCTTACAAATGCCCTTAATTTCTTCAAACGAGAATCACTACTTGTGGTTGTCATTCCCATAACCCTATATTTTAAAAAACTGATCTACTTTTCTAATGGTAATACAAAAAAGAAATAAGAAAGCAACTTATAACAAAATAATATCTATTTCAACGTATAAAGCTCAGGTATAAATACACTACAAAATATATAATGAAGTAGTCAGATGCTTACATAGAAGCAACTGCTAAAACACAGACAAATACAGGTGTGTTCTGTTCATGATTCCAATCCCTTGAGTGGCACTGCCTCAATGAAATGATCAAAGATAAAAAATGCATTGAAAATCTCCAAATAAAATACAGCCTTTATTTTTAGTTTTATTTCGAGACAGAGTCTCACTGTGTCACCCAGGCTGTAGTGCAGTGGTGTGATCTTGGCTCACTACAACTTCCACCTCCTGGGTTCAAGCAAGTCTCCTGCCTCAGCTTCCGGAGTAGCTGGAATTACAGGCATGCGCCACCATGCCCGGCCAATTTTTTGTATTTTTAGTAGAGATGGGGTTTCACCATGTTGAGCAGGGGCTCAAACTCCTGACCGCAAATGATCTGCCTGCCTCGGCCTCCCAAAGTGCTTGGATTACAGGTGTGAGCCACCGCACCCTGCCCAGTCTTGATTTCTACTGTGGTTTCATTCCTAAAAAAAATCCAGTTGATATTAAAACAACCCTAAAAACATACTGCTTTAGTATACATATATCAAAACAACATGATGCACTCTGTTAATGTAATTATGATTTGTCAATTAAAAATTTTTTAATTTTTTTTTTTTTTGAGATGGAGTTTCGCTCTTGTTACCCAGGCTGGAGTGCAGAGGCGCAATCTCGGCTCACTGCAACCTCTGCCTCCTGGGTTCAA